TTTCCTTCCTAGGTAATGAAAGTACATGGCAAACTAGAGTATAACTGGCAACTACCAAAAATGATTTAATTTTTAAAAAAGACAAAAACAACCCGCAGCACATTACATCATCATTTGATTCTGCTATTGTAGTAGGTTGGAAACTACCATATATTTTAATTCCTTTATTCGTAAATGAGTATAGGTTCTCCCCCTATCAGTAGTGCACATTCTTTTTGCTATCATTGTCAGAAGTGTTGCTTTTCATAAGCTTCAGTTACAGTTGGCATCTGAGCTGTCTGCTTACCCAGACACTTTTATTTACAGTATGACTAAGCTGAAGTGTGTTTAATAAGTGCTTACCTCTTGAACTTTCAGAGTATTCTGCTGAGCAAAATGGGTGGAGCGCTGATTTAATAGCCAACCTATATTACATCATGTTTTGCTTAGTTCTGATTTTTCTTTCTGTAGAAGTACGACGTACATTCAGTAACTGTACTTTTATCTATTCAAAACTATGGTCTTAATGTTTTTCATATGCCTTGGCTCAGCTTGGAATCATTAATATTGTTATTACAATATAATATATATATATAAAATACTCCTTGTAATTAATATTCTCTATGTACTTATTTTTAATACAGGAAAAACTTGGGAACTAATGGCATATGTTGTAAGACTGAACTGATCTGAAAATAAGAAAATGAATATATATTCTTAAAGTAGACTCCTGATGTCAACCTTCTTAAACTCATTATATTAATTTCAATCTGTGGAATGTCAAAAAGTCAGTGATAAACTAAACTTGGTTTGTCGTGAGTACAAAGCTGGAAATTATTAAGCAGCATTTATTTTTTTGCGCATCTTGACATTCTAAGTTATACAGATAAGTTTTTAAAAAGTAATTAATGGGTAAAATTCTGATGAATGTTCCAGGAAAAATTCAGGAGTCTTAGAATTGAAAAGTACATCTATATACTATCTTCTAGTTTGAATTCAGCTTCAACTTTTGGACCCTTTGCTGATGATTTGTAGCCCTTTTTTTTTTTTTTTTTTTTTTTGCATTAATTACTAAAGTTCATTACAACAGCTACCAGTACATTTACTGAATGTTTGTTGTAAATGCTACAATGTCTGTAAATGGATGAAGTGGTATGACAGTCACATATTTGATCAAGAGTGATGAAATATGAGAACTGTGGGCTTATAGCTGTAAATATTAAGTGAGATCCACAAAATCAGTGTTTATTCTAGGGTGTCCACTCCAGTAAAACTTTTGCAATGCCTTAGTTTTCATCCTAATAGACGTTTGATTCACGTGTTTGTGGTTTCAACAAATAATACGCAACAGAGAGTGACTTCTTAAGTTGAATTAAGAAATTTCTGGTGACAGAACTGTTTTGAAACAGGCTGAGGAAGCTGTTTTATTCTCTACTGCGTGGGCAGCAGGGATGTGTACAGCAGAATCTAGTTCCTTTGCAGGGTTAGTTAGGTTCCTGACCCCACTGCAGTTGTGAAGTTTTGTGAAGTACTTGTGGGCATACTGGGTTGCAGCAGATATCTGCATTGGATCACTGAGTTCCTCCAGCTGTTTGCTGCTGCTTTCATCTCAAAGGATACTACATCCAGACAGGTGGAGCTCATCAGTAGTCCCATGAGAAGTGGTACCCTTTTGAAGTAAAAGCAATAGCGAACAGTTGAGTGAGTAGCTCACTTTTAATTTGGCAACCTAATGCAAATGGAGTGGGTTGGAAATCACCTGGAAATGAATGATCAGTCCCACTGTACAACTTCTAAGCAGAGTAGTGGTAAACCTCAGTTCTTGTGGGAATCTTCTTTGTAGCGCTTGTGAAACTAACACCTGCTTTTGCCATTAAAGCTGTCCATAAAGACATCTTGTGAGAATGAGATTAACCAAATCTTTAAGTATATGCCATTCTGTTTGAGGAAAATAGGCCATTAGAAAAACCTGGGAGAAAGTTCATGAATTAAGATTTTCTTCAGCCATTTGAACATTTAAAAGTATTCTTTGAGTTCTGTCCTGGCTTTTAGGGCATATATAAGCAGAATTTTTTTTGGCAAAGTGCAAGGGCCATTTCGGAAGGAAACCTCCTTCTCAACCTAAAGGAAATTTAGTAAAGAATTGATCTTAAATCTCCAAAGATATGTTTGGTTACTTGCATCTTGGGAACATGAATTTTTTTAATATTCCTATTTATAAAAATGAGTTGTGTCCTGTAATAAGTTATTCTGCTTTCATGGCAACCATTGCCAGCTAGCCATGTGACTTTTTTAAGTACTGGATACAATAGGAGTAGGTTAGTTTTGTGTAATATAAATGCTCCTGGAGCCTGGATTAATTTCCTGGTAGTCTTATCTTCATGCTTTAAAGCTAATGGGAACTTGGTCCTTCTATTTTATGGTGTACAGAGCACATCTTTTTTTGCTTTTTACATTTTTCCTTCTAGGTTTTGGTTAGATCTCACGAACCCTATGTTACTGCATGTCTAATTAAAGCTTAAGACTGGCACTGTTTTGTTTGAACCTCTGTTGCTGTTGTGCATGAGCAGGGTATCATATCCAGGAACATGGAGACCAGGTTTAGGGCGAGTTGCTATTTGATTGTTTCATAGGTAATGTGGCATCTTGGATGCAATGCTTTTGTACCCAAAGTACACTAAGGTATAAAGTACACTAAATATAGGGTGTTGGCTTGAATAATGTTTCAGGTGGTTAGTCCTTCAGCACTGATGTTCCTTAAATGAATTAATGCTACCATGTTTTCAGAAAACTCCTGTATTTTTAAAAACACAAATCAACACTTTGCTCTGCATACCAGAGATCTAGCAAATCAAACAGACATTAAAACAATTAACCCTAAAGTTCATGGCACCTGTTAATTTGAATATCTCAATTCTTCTTCAAGTTAAATATTTATTTCTGGTTCAATGTGTGGCCTGTGTAGAGATGGCATTTATCATTGCTAGATACACTTCTGGAAGCCTTTTTTAAAACTGTCAAGTGAGAGAGAGTTTGGTTTGGTTATTGGTGCGCCACCTTTCTGATGAGGTACAAACTAACTGACTTTTCTTGCTTTTTATGAGGGCATTCAAGTAGGACACTCAGCTGAAATAGCATGGAGGTCTTTGTAGAGATTACCTTGTAAAATTTGTTTCTATTTATATTTCTTACCCTTTTGGCTTGGAAGGTAAAAATTCTTTGGCATGTATTTTATAGCTGTAATGGGGACGAACTACAACAGCTGGCAGCAAGATCATCTGATTAAAATAATGCAGGAGTTAAATTTGTAATCATTCTGGATGCTCTACTTTATCCCTCTTGCTCCCTTAACAAGAACTGACTTTCTTGCTTCATGAAGTATTTAGATAGAGCATGGGGATCAGTATACCACTGGGATCTCCTGATTCAAAGCATTTTTTTCTACTGACTTCCATGTGGTGCCTCTTTTAGGAGTGAAGGTGGGAAGAAAATCTTTTGTTTTTATTAGAAAGGGAGGCTGTACTGCAAAGAGTTTGTTTTCACTTTATTAGTTTCCCTGCTGTGTAATTTATATCTAGAATTATAATTGAATTTTACCTTATGCAAATAGAACAAAAAATAAACCAAGTTTTGGGGTGAGAGGAAACTTTAATTTAATTTATACGAAGAAAGATACTATACAAAGTAGTTTGTAGTTAATTTTATTCATTAGTTTGGGAATTAGCTTTGATTTTTGAGTATTGGTGAAAGTAGGCATCCCATTTTCTTTTTTTGGGTGGCAACAGGAAGAGTTGAGGTAGATCAGAAAAGCAAAAATTAATCTCAGCTTGAATAAACCTGAGGAATCTGCTTAATAACCATGAGAAAAATAGTGTTTCACATTGCCAAGCTGTTGTTTTAGGCTGCTTTTAGACATCTCTGTAGTGACATAAAATTGTCAGTTGCAAACTTCTTTTGATTCTTTTTGTTCATGCTGATTTGAAGTGAAATGAAGTCATTTGTGCTGGCATTGGGGAATCACTTTTTAAACTGCCTTCTGTTGATGTGCTTAACTTATTTCTGATCTAATTTCTAGAATATGTTATCGTTTCTGTTTGTTTGTTTTTCCCCTAATAGTAACTAATGGGTTAATGTACAGAATTTCACTGTAATATATTTAGGGTGTCACTGTAAAATACTTCAAAAAAAATCAAAGTACAACACTCCAGTTTCTCTATTCAGATCTTTCCAAATATGACAAAAACAATTTGTTCTTAAATCTGCAATAGGTCTGAAAGGAGGAAACAGTTTACCTACTTAGCTTGGTGGTGTGACTTTTAGGCCTAATAATGACTTAACATCTCATGGATAGTCATCCCGGTAGAAAGACAATTTAATGTGCTTTAACCAATGTGACTGGTTTTGTTTGACTGGATTTTTAGAAGAATGTTTGCAAATTTTAAAACTGCAAACAATTGAGTTTCTGTCAAATACTTTGACTGTCTCTGGCATAGGAGTTTGGGTGGGAGGGCTGTACCTTGAATTTTGAATGCTTTCAAAGATTGGTGCGTGAGAGAGATTATGGATGTGGTAGGACACAGCTGACTTCAAAGAGTTAGGGTTTTTGCTTAAAATTACAAAAATATTCCAGAATTCGTAAATAATATTGTTGTATTTATGCCCCCCAAAGCATCAGCTTCTTGCAGCAATAAACAAGGCCTCACAATTTGAGAACAGCATCTGACTAATGTTAATGTAGGTTTAAAGTTTAAAATTTAAATGATCTAATCATAGTATCCAAGCCTATTTAAGCCCCACCCTCGCATGGAGATTACATTTTAACTCTTGTTTTTCCAAATCTAATTTAAAAAGGATAGGATTTTACTAAAATATTTCAATGCAGGCTCATCAGCTTGGACAAGCATGTACAGAAGTATTTATTTAATGGGAGCAGCAGTGAAGACGTGGGAATGGTAGAACGCAGCTTGAACATCAAGGCTGTCTATAGACAATATCGTAACTCTTTCACTATTCTGTTGCAGGCTAAAGAAATTTTGACGAAAGAATCCAATGTGCAAGAAGTACGATGTCCAGTCACAGTCTGCGGAGACGTCCATGGACAGTTTCACGACCTCATGGAACTTTTCAGAATTGGAGGCAAATCACCAGACACAAATTACTTGTTTATGGGGGACTATGTTGACAGAGGATATTATTCAGTTGAAACAGTCACATTGCTCGTAGCTCTTAAGGTAACTTTTATTAAGCTATGTGGTTGTATTGATGAAAAAATATTTCTCTTTTGCTTGGCTGCATGGCAGCTAGACTTAATATTCACCAGGTGTCTCCTATCTGGTTTTATAGCTGTGGGAACTGACACATGTAAAACTTCAGGGTGTTACTGCCAGAGAGCTACAACTCCTGACCCCAGTCTTTTACTTATAAGAGTATGTGGCTGTGTTTTAAGGAAAAAACAATCAAGAATATTGTCCTTAAAACTAAAACTGTTTTAACTAGACTAATTTGCAATTGTTATTTAAGAAATGGCAGTTTTCTTGGGCTTGTGTATCTTGAGCTGCAAGGCAGACTCTAGAGCAGAGGTTCCCAGACTTTTTCTTATTGCGTACCCCCTTCCAGATTTGCCTGTTGCCCTTGTATTCCTACCAGCATTTTATTTTAACCCTGTAAATGCCAATTATTATTATAAGGAATATTAAATTCACCACTACGCAGTCACCTGTGTACCCCCAAATATACATGTACCACAGTTCGGGAACCCCTACTGTAGCAGATGAGTTGAGAGACTTGGAGAGGCTGCTGTGAGTAACTGGGAAGATTAGAGTGGCGTTAGCTTAATTAAAAAGGAAATCCTAAGGATGCTTAATATATTATTGAATTAGGATTAAACAAATTGGTGTTAAACTTCTGAAAATTGTGTGCTCAACAGAAAGTTATGAGAAGATAGTGGTTGCAAATTATGTAAAAGCCCAACGTTTAGCAGGGTTTTTTTATGGGTAACTTTTTTCATCCTCAGGTATTGGCCTAGAGCAAATATTAATATAATTTTCAATCAGTGCATTAATACAGCTTCAGTTTAATGATTTTACTACTACATCTTATTTTTACTCAATGAAATCTGGTTTACATATATTGACTGGCTCATAGTAATATAACCTGAAGTCCTGTACTGAACTTCCTGTTCAGTAATTCTTTTCTGGAAAGACTGATAGCTTTAAGATGGTGAGTTCTTGTTAAGGATATTAAATGCTTTTTGTCTTAGGTCCGTTACCGTGAACGCATCACAATTCTTAGAGGAAATCATGAAAGCAGACAGATCACACAAGTATATGGTTTCTATGATGAATGCTTAAGGAAATATGGAAATGCAAATGTTTGGAAATATTTTACAGACCTTTTTGATTATCTTCCTCTAACTGCCTTGGTGGATGGCCAGGTATGTTGAAATTTATTTTTTCAGCTGTTCTCTCTTTGAGGGGGGTACAGTAAACCAGATCTTTCCATAGTTGTCTGTTCTTTGCTAGTCTTTTCACCTGATTGACCCCTCCCCCCCACTTCCTCTCCTTTGTTTCCTTTATCCACACTCTTCCGAGTCCTCCCCTTCTTTTCACCCATCCATGAATGATTGATTGTCTTTTTCTAGGCAGTCCCTTTCGTCTAATGTCCTAAGAATTTTAACTATCTTCCCTAATTATGTGAAAGTCTTTTCTTTGTGCCAGTCTTCTCAAACACTGTCATTAGATTTTTTTTTTTTATTATTTTTATTTAAGGCTAACTTTTTATTGTTAAAAAAGTTTCAGCAGAAGGTTGCAAACTTTAGAAAGAGCTGTAGAGGCATGTGTAGTCGAGATTAAAACTGATAGGTCTGTTTTTGTTGCTAACTTGTATTGCAGTTTTACTTCCAATTTTACATGTGTAAACACAGATACTTTCAAGTAAATCTGGGTGAATCTAACAGATGCACAACTCTTCCAGATTTTCTGTCTACACGGTGGCCTCTCACCATCTATAGATACACTGGATCACATCCGAGCACTTGATCGCCTCCAAGAAGTTCCTCATGAGGTACTAACAAATCTGTTATTGAAATGTGCATCTTGGAGTCAGAATTTTAAACTTCAGTGTATGTTTATCATGAGTCTGTATACAGACAAATGATCAGAAATATCATTTTTATCTTAATGCTATGAAAATACCTGTTTTAAATGGTCTGCAGAAAGTGGTTGCATAGTTATGTATTTCCTATTTTCAATGTATTCTGGAGAATTTACCTTCTTTTTTTAGGCTAAGGTGCTTAATTCTTATTGAGCATGTCTACATGTACAAGTTAATGTGAAGCAGTAAACTCTGGAGCTTATTGCTCTCCAGTTTATTGCTCCAGGTGTGCTGTTTGCATGTGCGCCCAGGACCACAGCATGTTGAGCCGGGTTGGGTCAGCCTGCCAGCCCAGGGCTGCTCCCCTCAGCCCAGCATGCTGCAGTGAGGCTGGCTGGGGCAAGCAGTCTCATGCTGGCAGGCAGCCCCTATATGGAAGCACCCTCATGCCCCAGCCAGCTGGAGCAGTGTCTAAATTAGTTAATGCCAGCCTAACATGGGCACACGTGTAGACATGCAATGTTTACTACGCAACTGATTGGTCTACCGTGCAGTAAACATCTCATGTAGACATACCCATTGGAAAGCAATTCCTTTCCTCGCTAAAGTTCTTGACACAGTTCAGTTGGTTGCCCGTTTCAAGGTTCAGCTGCCCACCTAATCCATTTAAACCAATGCTTGTGGTTGTCCTAGACTTGGTTACCTGTGTGTTTTGGCATCCCTTTGCCCTCGGCTTCTGAAAATTATTGACTCTAGAAAGACAAGGTTCTTCAGGTGAATCTGGTATCTTTTAGTAGACCAACTTAAATCATTGGAAAACTATTAACTCTAGAAATATTTTCTAGGGTCCAATGTGTGACTTGCTATGGTCAGACCCAGATGATCGTGGTGGTTGGGGCATTTCTCCTCGAGGTGCTGGTTATACTTTTGGGCAAGATATATCGGAAACGTTTAACCACGCCAATGGCCTTACGTTGGTTTCAAGAGCTCATCAGCTGGTAATGGAGGTAAGCATATAGTCTTCTTTTTAAAGACTCTAAATTGTGTTCTTGATGCCTAAGCTCCATTACATTAGTGCTCTCGTTTCTGACCCTGTGGTTCTATGGTGGTCAGTTACTGTTAGAGGCAAGTAAGAATTAACATTATCCTGAAACTGGAAACAAGTTGACTGTCATGCAGGCATGGTTTAATTTGGGGCTGTCCAATTTCTAAGCCCCTGGGGTGTACCACTCAGGTCATGAGCTACTAGACTACACTGACACTCCTGTCTGCCATATTATGTATTCATGCAGGTAACTCCCCATCTCCACTGCTGCACCAGGCATTCTACCTCTGCTGCAGCATACATCTGTGACCCTCTCACTGTTGCACAGGGCATCTCCCCACACTTACACCACAAGGGCACAGGTTCCTCATGCACAGCCCCACAGTCTCCCTCAGCTCCCTGCACTACTCACCATGCTGACCTGCACTCTGAAGCAGAGGCAGGAAGTGGCAAGCAGAGGGTGGAGGAGAGGAGCCCAGAGACTTGCTGTTGCAGCAGAGCAATGAGAAGGAGCAGTGACCAGGTGTGAGTCCAAGGTCTACCCCCCTCATGGACCACCAGTTGGACTGCCCTGTGTCAGTGTATCCGAGGTTGGAGACCTTTTTAGCTCTTAATATTCTACCTTACCTTTGAGGATTCATTATAGTTTTACACACTAAGGATTATGGCAGCAGACTACATAATCTTTTTGAGCATCAGTTTCCTGGTTGTAAATTCAGTGTGGAGTCTGTTGACTTAATGAAGTGTATGTGCATGTTCATGTTTTCAAAAAGTGCAGATTTACATAAATTTGATACCTGAAGTTTGAAGCGCCTTTGGATGTACCATTTGTGTTCCAGTAAAATGCCTGAAACACTTGGTTGCTAGTATTTCTAAGTATAGATTCAAGTTCTCATCTTAGTAAGATAAAATCCAGAATTGTTTTATTAATACTGATACAACAGAAATTTTGGTGATAAGTGCAATGTGTTCTATAATTGCACTTCTTTAAATTTAATCGCATAAAAATATCTTGTTTTTTGAAATACAAATTGCAGGGTGAAACGTGAAGGTCAGAGTTCTTTCTCAGTTCTTATACTATGGACTTATCAGTGAAGAGAAACGGTTCCACAGACTGTAGCTTGTGAATCATCAACTACTGAGTTCTTAGACTGACACAAATGATGAATTAAGGTGACCTTAAAGACTTGTATGGTGTTTTTCCATCTTTAGGGATACAACTGGTGCCATGATCGGAACGTAGTAACAATTTTCAGCGCTCCAAACTATTGCTACCGTTGTGGCAACCAGGCTGCAATCATGGAACTTGACGATACTCTAAAATACTCCTTGTAAGTATTTAAAGATCAGATTGCGTGGCATCTTAGTACAGTTTTATTTCACCAAAGCAATGTAGCTTAAAAAACATCCATAAAATTACTCACTTCACATTACCCTTAGGAAGTTGAGCATAGAAGCTTTCCAAACTGTAACATTAAAGGGCGTAGCCTGTCAAGTATCTGTGCACATGTTGCTGAAACTAACTCCTCTAAGTCTTGCAAAGAAATGAAGCAGGATCTGGACAACATTGAGCAAATTAAGAGCATGTAAATGGTTAAGCTGAGACTAGGGGTGTACCAGTAGAGATTTTGGGGGGGCAATACCAATAGCCAATTTTTAATGAGGCATATCAGCCAATACCGATCCAATTTCTGATGCAGCTGCCTGAGGCTGATAAGTCTGTTGTGGTAGATGAAGAGTAGGGAGGGAAGGGGCGTGGGGGGGCAGATCAAAGCCTCTGTGGTGATGGAGGGGCTGGGTGAGGCACTGCCCAGGTGGGACGGTGTTGCACCTCGTTTGGAGGATGTGGGGGTGGATCTTGCCACTGTGCGTACCCCAGGATAGCATGGAGGCAGGGGTGCCCCAGATCGGGCGGGAAGGGGGGCTGCAGCTGGGGCTGTGACTGCGCTCCCAGCGCATAGGGGCTGCACTGAGAGGAGGCTTACGGGGAGGAGCAGGGCTGTGATCACTGTAGCCCCCACATAGCCCTAACCCAGTGTATTGCCACCCACCCCAAGCGCAGCCCCCACATGCCAGGAAGAGGCCGGTGCAGCCCTAGTCTGCAGTTGCAGCCTCCCCCCATGCAGATCTGGGGGGGCACACACCCCCTCTGCCCCATGCCCTCGTGGGGTGCATGCAGCAGTGGGAGCCGCCCCATTCCCTCCTTCACTGCAGGGGACGTTGATCTGCCCCCACCCCTTCCCTTCCCTCCCCTTCCACCACAACAGACTTACTAGCTGTACGCAGCTCTCCAAGCTGTTGGGCTGTGCTCCTTGCCACCTACATGCTGCACTGCAGCTGCATGCATGTATGCACAGGGCATTTATTGGTCACATGAGGCTCATTTCTGATGCAATTAATTTTCTTTATATCGGTGCCGATCCAATATCAGGCCGATGTATTGCTGCACCTCTAGCTGAGACTGGACAGTTTAACAAAGGAAGGAGAAATAACACGTTCCAAGAATTCCATTCAACATGACAGACTGTTAAACAGACATTAAACAAAACTAGTATTTCTTTGGTGGGGCTTTCTGGGTTTTTTGGAATATTAGCTGCTTTATTGTTTTATTTTTTTCAATAAAATGTCCCAATTCTAACCTTTTCCTTTTTAAAAGTTGGAAAAACTTCCTCTTGACACTTAACCTTGACTTTTGGCTTATGTTATCTTCAGGGATCCTGGTTTTCTCTGTTTAAAAATTGCAGATTCTCTGAGTTTTTTAAAACCACCCAAATCTGCATTTTCCCGTGATAGATAAATATAGACATAGGTTTCTAGACGTTAGGGCTGGAAGGGACCTCGGAAAATCGAGTCCAGCTTCCCACCCAAAGGGCAGGAAGTCAGCTGGTATATAGGTATCAGTTGAACATAATATTTTATATACAGTAAAAGCTCTGTTATCCGGCATCCCCCATGAATGGGGCATGCCGGTTAATCAAATGTGCACTGTTTGGTGCATTCCCCAGTGTCAAACAGCCTGCTCAGGGCCCTGCTCCCTTGCCTTGGGCTGTGGGCTGAAGTAGCAAAGAAAAACTTGGCTTGCATTAGCGAAACAGGAAGTCCCCTGGAAGTGGTACTTCCGGTTTCACTTAACCGGCATTTGAGGGATGCAGCAAAATAGCATTTTCCAGCTAATAGAGTGCTGGTTAACACAGCTCTTGCTGTGTATATACAACTTTAAAGCAGTTTGGAAGCCTATCAGTGCTTCAGTCACTACAATCAAATAAATTCTAAATACCTATAATTTTTTGTTTTTATCATGGGAAATCAGAGCTCCCTGTGTCCCTTTTTTGCTTACTAGGGTGTGGGTCCAGCTGTGTCCCATTCCCTGTTCCCCCCACCCATTTTGTGGCACTTAGCAGCTCGGATATACCAGTGCCCTGACCATGTTGGTGCCTCTCACTCCTGACCCACAGCCACAGGACCCCAGCCCTGCTGTTGCCCCTCAGTTACGACCTCCAACCCCCCAGGCCTGTCAGAGGGGGCCCCTAGCTCTCAGGGTGATGGGGCCAGTGACACGGGTCTTCAGTCCCCAGCCTCTGAGCCCCATCGGCCATGGCGGGAGCAGAGCACGGAGCCCAGCTCCCCCTCCCTCATAGGCATCACAGTTGGAGTGGAGCCCATGGGGAGCTTGGGTGTGGATGTGGGTTCCCTGCCCTGCTGCCCTCCCACTGGGGCCTCCACAGCCCAGTAGGCAGGACCCGTTGTGGGATGGCAGAGCGGGGAGGCTTGGTGTGGCTGCCAGGAGCCTCATCACCATGGCAAGGCACCCCCTGCCCACCTGGCAGCAGTTGGGGTGGCAGCTCACAGTTGTCCATCCCACTCCCCACGCAAGCCCTGTGGCCACACACCACCCCAGTTCTGCAGCGCCCCCAGCCCCGCCCAGCTCCCTCCCTCACTATGCAGGCATTAGTTTCGCGCTTCCTCCCTCCCCCACTGACTTACTATGGGAAGCTGTGCTCCATGATGCATGGCTGCTCTGCGCCTGATCGTCGTAGCCCAGAGGTGGGCAAAATGTGGCCTAGGGGATGGATGCAGCCCACTAGGCCATTCTATCCAGCCCGTGGGGCCCCTAAAAAATTTAGAAAATTAATATTTATCTGCCCTGGGCTGCCAGATGGCTTGCCAAAACTCACTAAGCGGCCCTCTGCCCAAAATAATTGCCTGCCCCTGCCTTAGCCCCTTTGCAGGCTGGAACTCTGCCAGCCTGCAAGGGGAAACCCACCACTTCCCATGGTTTTTCTCCTTTAAAGAGAGAGGTTTTTCTCCTTAAAATGAGAAACTCTGTGTTTTTCTGCAGTAAACGGAAAGCCCGGATCCCTGTTTTTCATGTACATTAGGGCTGTCTAAATGGCAGCCTGTATGTGGCCCATGAGCAGTTTATGTGCAGCTCCTAGGGTTTTACCTGCCTCTGTGTAGCTTATCGCTCTGGCTGCAGCAGCAGCTGGGGGCTTTTCCCTCCCCCAACTTTTTCTCCTTACTCCCAACCCAAGGGGGCAGGGTAGTATAGCCCAGAGTGTGGGTGTTGCAAGGGAGCTGAGTTGGGGGGAGGGGCTGCCTGTGTGGGATGGGGAACAGCCTGGACACACTTGGCTTGCCTCTGGCTGTTTAGAAGTTGGACATCCCTAATGTATGTTATAGTGAGGTATTCATTAAATGCATTTATTTATAATGATGTTTACAGCATAAAATAAGCAAGACAATGGATTTGTGACAGGCTATCAACTATTTCTGCAGAATTGGTACCGGTGTTTGGCTGCAACCACAAATGTTTTGGCTATTTTAAAAATTCATCTTCTAATTTCCACCCAGTCCTTATTTTATTACTTCCAGTTAATACCATACTTCTATAGTAAATATGTTTTTGCAAAGTACATTTAAGTTTTATGGGACCTGATTGCAGGTTTAACATTGGAAAAAAGCCTTTAAAAATGCTTGCGCTAGAGGAATTTTATAAATTAGATGAGCAATTTTTTAAATAGCAACTTAGTCCCAGACCTGGGGAGTCTGTTTCTTGCTGTTATTACTGTGCCTAAGACTTATTGTGATTACTGTGTATGAGACTCATGTCTGGCAATCCTTAATACAAGCTGATGAGACCTTTAGCACTTTGAATAACATATGTTATCTTTCAGTTTGCAGTTTGATCCGGCGCCACGTAGAGGTGAACCACATGTTACTCGTCGCACCCCAGACTACTTCCTGTAAAGAGATTTTACACTTGTACAGTATTGCCATGAACCATATGCTGACCTAAAGGAAATGGGAAGAGCAACAGTAACTCCGAAGTGTCAGAAAATATTTAACATTCAAACTCGTTTTCACATGGACCAAAAGATGTGCCATATTAAAATACAAAGCCTCTTGTCGTCAACAACAGTGACCACTTTAGAAAGAACCAGTTCATTGCATGCTGAAGCAACATTGTTGGTCAAGAAACCAGTTTCTGGCATAGCGCTATTTGTAGTTACTTTTGCTTTCTCTGAGAGACTGCGAATAATAAGATGTAGACATTAACACCTCGTGAATACATTTAACTTTCCATTTAGCTATAGCTTTATTCAGCATGACTGTAGATAAGGATAGCAGCAAACAATCATTGAAGCTTAATGAACATTTTTAAAATAAGTACCAAGACCGCCTCCTGTTTGTGTTCTAAAACTGTTTTGTTTTATTTTCAGGGAATACTGTTTAATTTAATTGTGTTGATTTATGTCCACACTCAGTTTTTTCCCCTCACTCTTTGCCTCCTACATTGTCCCTTGTAATTGTCCAAGCCTAGTGAGTTATTTTGAACAGAACTGTTTTTTTTCTGTAAGATGTTACTGCAGAAAAGTACTGCAGTGTTTTTCATAATAAACTTGTGAACTAAGTATGGAAAAATGTCAACTCCTAATTGTATCTCAGGTTAACTCTGCTAGTTTAATAAAAAGATACTTACCTTGGTGGGTTTCATAAACCCTGTATGCAAATCTTCATCCTAAAGAAAAAATAGGTCATTGGAACGACTTTCCAACATGCTCTAAACTCCTGAAATCCATTCCAAGGTTGTTGGTTACTCATGTTTTTGAAGGTGAGCATGAATCTGTGGTTTTTAATGAACTGTCACATTTTCTCAGCTCTCTACCTTACTCTCTGTAGTGTTATTTCTTTGAACCATTTGCTTGTTGGTCAGAGAACACTTTCCAATCTGTAACTGCAACATAACAAGTTACTAGCAGTAGGGCAAAAATATTCAAATCAGTTATTTTTTAAAAACCCCAAAAATCTCATGCTGCTTTCTAAATTGCAGAAATAAATATTTGGAGTTCAATAAAATACCTGTATTAAGATGTAGCAGGACTTGTGATCTAAAATTTAGCTCTTGTGCGTTTTTTGTATAACTGTTCTAAACAGAAAAGGGAGGTCTGAGCCTTTTGTGCTTTATTTCTTATTTCATGCTGTACAAAGTAGGCTTACAGTTCTCATTGAAATTCATATTGTTAATACTTTATGCATTCAACTTTCTTCCCGTTTCAAGTGTTTCTATAAAATATCCTATGATGTCCAGGAGGCTGTTCAGCAAAATAATCAGACCACTTTTATTTTCTTTCAGTTAAAAAAAAAAAAAAAAGAAAAAGAAAAAGAAGAAAAGAAAGAAAAAAAAGAACATCTCAAGTTCTTTCTATTCCATAAAAGTAAGAAAAAAAAAAAAAAATGAAAAAAAAAAAGGCAGTTCCAGTTTTTAATTTCTTAGAAGCTACCCTTTTTGGCTACCTTCATACCAAAGAACTTACATTTTTACATGTTTAAATCTGGCCCGCGATGTCTAAATTGCAAGCAGATAACTCTTTTATAAAATACATATTTTCCCATTCTCCCTACCCTCCTTCCCCTCCCTCCTGCTTTACACACTCAAAAATAAGGATTTTTACTGCTGGCCTTTCTTTTTCTTCTGCTATATCCAAACCGTATTGACTTCTACCCTCTCTTTACTGGAGGGTTTCAGCAAGACTTTTTGAGGACCAAAATGTTTTCAGACGTAATTTGTGCCATATGTTGGGAAAGGGTATTAAGCTGTGTTCTAATTTAGCATATAATTTTTTTTTACTTCTAAAAGAGAACTTGGTGTGTTTTAAGGAGAACGGTTTTTTGGGGTTTTTTTCCTTGAAAACATTTTGCTTGTCACTTTCCCATCTTCGTAAGCAATGGTCTGGGTTATCCTTGCTGCTGCTATCATCCATCTCTGGAATAATAGGATTCTTTCTGTCCATCTCTGATTTCTTATTATTTTAACTGGCATGTCTCACTTTCTGTTTAATTGAGATGAGGTGGTCTGTACAGAAGCATGTGAACGGAGTTAGGTAACTTGGGTGGTTGTCTAGAAACTGAATAAATAGATCTGAAGGCAAAATCTGAACTTTCTCTTCCTTTCATTTGCAAAAGTTATCCAAACCTATTATGTACGTTTTCAGGATTCCATGGTCCTATCACAGTGTGGTGGTTTCAGTGAAAATCAGTGCACCAACTATTTCAAAACTTTCCTTTAAAGATGTGAAAGAAATAAGTGAATATTATTATAGTGTTACTGTCCTACAAGCTTGACAAATGGGAGCAACCAGTGTTGCTCAGGAGTAGAAAATCTAAAGCGCTGTAGTTCCCAAACTAAAATTTAAGATTAATCTCAGACAATGATGCTACTTTTTCTGTCAGGGAAGCCAATGTTTGTGCATATTTCTCATTGCATTTTAAAGTACCTGAAACCTAGTAACATAGGTTAGGTTTAATTAGCTAATTACGGTTATTACCCTTTTTCTTTTATGGAATTTTCCAAAATCTTGACTTGACTTGAATGAGTTTTTGTGCCTATAAATTATAATTAAGATAAATTAGATTCTACCCAGAGAGGTGGTGGAAGCTCCATTCTTGGGGGTTTTCAAAACCCAACTAGACAAAGCTTTGGCTGGGATGATCTAGTTGGGGCTGGTCTTGCTCTGAGCAGGGGGATGAACTAGATGTAACCTCCTGACATCCCTTCCAGCCCTGACTTTCCATGATTCTTTGTGGTCTTAGGAAAATAAATTCTCCAAGGAGCACTGACTGATTAGAGCAGCACCAGCATTTTCCCTGCTTTAGGTTAAAACGGTCTTTAGAGCTTTCCATATTTCACTCTTATAAGAGTCATTTACAATTTATATGTTCTGGGCCACTAGCCTTTTTAAACAAGTCTTTGTTTATCTGCATGGTAGAATTAAATCGATGAATGTGCGTTTCCGTGCAACATGCAATTCCTGCATTCAAACACAGATTCAAAATATGAGATGTTACAAAAGCACAGGTTCATACGTATACACCTTTGCCCAAGGAGCAGGGCAACCTTTTTCTTTTGTGTGTTCCATAAATCTGTGTGCATTAGAAATGCTTTCAAGTTCTGCCATCTTTCTCTTTACAGTTTCCTTCCTTCCTTTTTTCAATTCCTTGCATACTCTGTTTTCTTGCATTTAAGATATTCTGCAATGTGCTTGAATATTTTTCTATTCTAGTCGATGTTTTCAAGTAGTTTTGCTGCCACTGTACTAATGCACACTTTCTCAGTATGGCTATTTTATGATCCTTATGAGACTAAGGTTGGCTCTTCCAGCAGCACATTCCATCAATGATTGACAAGAGACTCTGCATGTACAGGTATACATTTTCTCCAGGATAAACCAATGGAGAGTTTGGATATGTTTGATACCATTCCAATTTTTGCTGATGTTAAATTGTTTCCAGCCTTTGGCATTTGTGTGGGAAGTTCAGCCATGTAGCCAGGAGCCTATGTACTTTGGCAGCCGTTACCTATTTCACCATCTTTCAACCCTACCTACCCTAAATGATATTTAAAATGTTTATGGGAAAATTGGAAATGGGCAGGGCTAGCTCAATCTGTTTCATAATAGCAGTGGTTGAAAGGGTGAGGTGATTTCTTTGTATATCACTTGCTTTGATGCTTGCTGCATTTAAGCTTCACTGTCTCATTTTTTACCTCTTGCCTATATTCCTGTCTAGTTTCTTTTTTTTCAGTTTTCTGTCCAAAACTATTGGCAGATATGTGATTGTTTCTGAAAGATACCTGGAGCACATCTAAATCATGCTAGTTTCCAAAGGCAGGTTTTTCAAAATGGCACATATTGGAAATTTGACACTTTGTAATGACAAAAGCATAGAAAATTATTTTAAAATGTATGAATAGATAATAATTGAGAGATGAGTTAGCTAGGAGAGAACTGAACAACCTAAAGATATCCTGGTTCCTGAACCAAAAAGTACTTCCCTGCAATTGGGTTTGCTGTGTACAGTCTCCTGTGTGGAGTTTTCCTATAGGAAATATCTCCTTTCCTTTGGTGGGGAGGAGGGGGAGCTGCTTTTCTTGGAAAGAAAACTCAAGTGCAGCCGAGCCACAGACAACCATGCCTTTGAAGCACCCCAAATCCTGGCACACTTCAAATTTAGCACCACGTAGATGACACTACCCTCTTCCTCCTGTGTCTCCCCCCACCCCTTTTACTTCAAGATGGTTGCAAAGGCTTACAGGAATCCTCTAGGCTCTAGAGCAATGATTCTCAACCAGGGTGTTGTGGTGCCACCAGATACTTTGAAGGATGCCCAGGGGTTTAAGATGATTAAGCAGGTATGATGCGATAAGCTAAGCAGATAAGTGCAGACTAAAGCTTGTCCCTGCCTGGCTGACCCACTGCCCAGCCCCTCTGTGAGGAGGTAAGCATTGTAATATTTAAAATCGTTTTTGAAATGGGGTGGCACTCAATTCACAAAAGTTTTATGGAGAGGTGCCTTGAGTCCAAAAAGTAACCACTGCTGTTGATACTCCTGAAGACGGCCAAGCACACAGGAAGAGCACTCGCTGGCTGTTTGCCCCACTTCCCTGACACCCATCCGCACTGAAGGGTTAGGGAGCAGAGCAGTACAGCATGCTGGAGCACTGCTGAGAAGTACAGACATTTTAGAGCACACTTGAAAGTATTCCTCTTTTGAGGGTAGCTCCTGAAGTGCTTCCACCATTTTTAAGTGCTGCTTTGGTCATGTAGATCTGTTTCCTGGGTGTTGACGTGCTTTAGAGGTAGTTGGTGCACTTCAAACAGCATGTCTGTTCCAGTCCCTGGCAAGCTTTATTACAATTGTAGCAAACTGCCATTTCTCATTAATGGATATGGTGTACTGGAAGCTCTGAGAACCTTGGGCAGAGGGCTGTGTTCCCAGGTATACGAATATAATACTGCCATTGAACCAAAATTCAGCCCTTTCATACTGCATTTGCGAAACAATTCAGTGTACTCTGTGGTTTGAATTGCTGCTTTGTATACTCAGTCTTGTTTTCCTTCAAGAACTAACACTGATGTATGTTTCTACTGACCTCTCAGTTCACTTATGTTCCTAGATAGCATACGATATAGCATAAATCTAATTTGGAGCTGATATAGAAATGGTCCAGGTTTTGGATACTGGGTTACAGTGGATTGTAAACCCTAGTTTACATGGTTCTGGATACTTTGCAGCAAACGCAACCAAAACTGCAACAGGAATCCTGGATCCTGCAGTCTGGGAATATTAGCTTCAAATATTAAAACTGAAGGGTTTTATTGGAGTAAATATAAAATGAACTGGGTACCATAACCTGTAGGTTTATGTTAATCTATTTTATGTTGTTTTACTTTCAGTTAATGTCATAAACTTTTGAAATGCCAGTGGCTGCATTACATGTGTTCAGAGGGAAAATCGGAGACCAAAATGACATTTAGGATTTCCAGTACCTGGAAAGATGTAGGTGGTGAGGCAGTTCAGGATTATGGGAGAAGGACACAAGATGGATAAAATCAACTAAAATGATCTGTAGGTGAATAACTGTAATAGAAAATTCTATCTCAGTATCAGAATTTACTAGTCTATTTAAGGAATGGTCCTTGCTGTTTGAAGCTATGGTTTTCAGGCTTATGGCACTGCAGCAGTTCATTCTGTTCTTTTCAGATGTAAGTCTGAGTTTTATTATTGACATAAAAATCTTAGTTCCCTTGTGCCGTTTTTTTAGCAAGTGGGGAATGCCAAATGTTTATGGAATATGAGCCCCATCTCTATACCAAAATGAAGATTACATAGAATATTTGGTTTCTTCAAGTGTCATGGTTTCAAAACTTTAAATTTGGATAGAAGCTGGCTTATAAGCATATGACTTGCACAGAACTGCATAGAACTGGCCTTTCCTTGGGATGCATTATAAATGTATTA